GCTTTGGTTCTGCCAAGCTCGCCATCTGTGGAGCGGGTCCGGGTTCTGCAGCGCAGGCTCAGGGCGGAGCGCTCGTAGTGTCAGATGGAGGATAAATTGCAGGCCTTGAGCGCCGCATCGTTGTTTGTCCTCAGAGGATCGTTGCCAGTTTGTGTTTGAAGAAAACGCTCGTCTGTAACCTGCCGACGGTTTTTGTTTAACTTCACTTGTGTCTAAATGATGATGTCACTGTGATCTCATTTTCCACTGAGCTTCAGTAACACAAGAAAAACTGTCTTTGTCTCGTTTAATTTAGAACTCCATTTCTGCATCAGATTTTTCTTCTTTGTATCCAGTATCTATATTTTCTGTCCTTTGTCCATTTCTTTTGTGTGTTTTTTTTCTTTCATTTTTCTCTATGCTAATACCTGAAAACTATTGATTAAATGTTCAGGGACTTGTTTCGTTTACGTATAGTCATTTATATATATATATAGTCATTTTTATATATATATATATATATATTATTAATTTATTTTTAATTTTTATTTTTTTCTAATATCTGTTGGATATTGCTACATTTTGAGGCTACATCACCTCCTGTGTGTATCTCTTGTTCTTTTCTTCTCTCCTCTAATCCCTTCTCCTCTCTCAGACACTTACACTTGTAATTCTGAGCCGGATCCGTCGGAGTCAAAGCAGCGATTTGAGTTTTCAGCGACAGGACGGATTAGCAGAAAAATCCTGAGTGAAGGCATTTCTTCCTCCTCTTCCCTGCGTGTTTCTCTGTATGTTTAATTGAAGTCGTTCTTGCTCTCTGTTATCTCAAACCTCCTCGTGCTCGGAGAGAGTGGTGGTTGTGTTTTTTCTCCAGGATGAAACGAACTAAATGACTTAGAAGATGAACAAGTCGTCTTCATACGTTGTAACAAGATCAGCTCGATTTGTCTTTTGGTTAAAGAATGAAAACTTAACGTGGCAATATTTCAACCAAATTCATATCGGAGACCACCGTTATTGTTTACAGAGTTTGATGTCATGTCAGTGGGTACAACGATGAGATCGTGTGAATGTTTTTGTGTCTGAGTTCAGCTCGGAGAGAGCGTTTGTGTGGCCCGAGCCCAAATCCATTTGACACAACACGCACCGATACAGTTGTTAGAGCTTCTCTCGCGGCAAAGCTGAATCTTAATGTGGGGCTTTCAATGAAAAATTCATCTTTTTTTTTTCTACTCTTCTGTTGAGAATGGCCTCTTTGATCTGGTTTTTGGAGGAGCTGGGAAAAAAATCAAGAGAAATCACAGACGAGAGATGCAGAGATGGAACAAAACTATGTCAGATTAACGACCCCGCTTGCTTTATTTTCTTTTACTAAAAAGGCTCCAGCTAACAGAATCTGCTGTTTCTGAAGCTGAAAGGGTTTTTCTAAAACGGACGCTCGCCTTTGATAAAACGGCTTCCTCTGTTGTAGCTGCGTAAAAAAACTTGTTACAACTCATCGTTTTCCTTCGTTGACAAAAAGATGCTTCGTTGATGTTCGTTCGGTTTTCAGAAACTTAAAGCTCAGATTAGATGAGACAAAACTTTCATTTGGTTATCTGGATGGCTTTTTTTTTGTTTTGAGATGTTTCATCCAAAGGACTTCATCAGTCCAAGGAGCCACAACAAACTCAGTCCCACAAGCAGCACACTCACATAGTGGACCAGCCAGTTTGATGGTGATGAGATGGTTTCTGGGGCCCGCCCTCTCCCCTGTCGAGTCATCTGAGGCAGCCATAGTGAAAATGATTCAAAACATCAAAAGTCCATGCTCAATAATCCAGGTAGAAAATCTAACATAGGTCATCTGGATGCTTTTTGTTGTTGAGACGTTTCGTCCTTCATCCAGTTTCATCCGGTGCACTATATGAGTGTGCTGCTTGTGGCTCCTCAGATTGACGAAGGACAAAACGTCTCAACAAAAAAAGGAACCGTCCAGACGACCTGACTGAACTTTGATGGATTTTCCACCTGGATGAACTTTGATGATTTCGTTTGGACGTTCCAGTTTTACGTCTGAATAAAAGCGTAACCAGAAAAGTTCCTGAAGAGACGTTGATGCCGTTAGCGCTCAGTGTTCCAGATTTTATTCTTCACCAAATCTTAGCTCAACAGCTGCAGAACAGAGTGAGGGAACGCTGTTTCTGTTTGCAGAGCTTTGTCCGCCATCTTGAATTTTAAAGAATAATTTTAGCACTTGGAGTATCTGCTGAGGACTACGGTCAGCTACTACCACACCACATATTAGTTAAATATCTATAAAATTGTTGCCATTTCTTACAACTGAAGTAAAGAGTTAATAAAAACAGTCACTGGGGGGTTGAGGTTCACAGCAGAGCTGCAGCTGGGACTCAAACCACCGGCAGCATCCAGGTCTTTAGTTTCTGAACACGCAGAGCTCGCTCCACGTGTCGAGCTACCTGGTGCCCCCAGGATTTAGGTTTTGTGGGGTCAGCAGGTGTGAAGTAATCCAGGATTTGTCTCAGCCTCTCTGTCTGAAAGAGTTTTATCCACGACCTGCTTTTCTTCTTCATGCACACGTTTCTGTAGAAATCCTTTTCATTCGCTCTGAACAGGTTCCTGTCCAGGACGTGTTGTTTGTTTGTAACTTGGTTCCACAGTTGTAAGTTTGTGTTTTGTTGTAAAACGACCTGCGAACAGAACCAAGCTGCTGTGATCAAACACTGATCTGAGATCAGATGCAGTGAAACCACTGACCACCGTGACACTTGTTTCACACGAGATCCTGATCGATCACCTTCTTACTCTTTCAATTGGCCAAGTTGTGTTCGATTATCTGAGGGGGGGTCACTTGTCTCGGGTTGACCTCAGTAAAAAAACGTCTTCAGCCGATGAGTGCTACGAGTTTCATTAAAGCCCGTACGGTGGTTTACAAGATATTTCGCTAACGTAACATTCGTGGCTCCATTTTGGAAACGGATGTTGAGCAGTCGGTTTGTGCTCGAAGCTCACGATCTGTAAAATCAACACTTTGAGACATTTTTAGCATTTGGTGATAACGAGGGGCGGATTAAGATTTTTGCACAGTACTAACGTTACGTTTACATGAAAACATGAAATAAGAAGCACAAAAACACACGTTGGCTTCAACGCAGCCGTCCAACATGAATCCATGGGTCGGTCACCCAGTCTGATCCTGCAGGACGTCCTCACCTGGCGCCGGCGTCCAGCTCTGATCCCGCTTCACGCCTTGTTGACCGACCGCCCTGCATGTCGGAGTTGGACCGCCGCACACGGAGACGGCGGCGAAACATCATCGCTGGAAGAACTCACTGAACGACTCGATTCTTCTCCAAACGCATTTTTTAAAAGCGTTATTTTTAATTAGAGGTGATGAATGGAAACAGTTTCATGAATAGTTTGTTTTACATCAAAAGGCTTTTTATTAAAAACCTGCTGAGGAGGATTCACTGTTCCATGTTTGGATTCGTTTATTCACAGGTTTTAAACGTGAAGCGATGAAGCAGTCTCTGTTTTACAGAAAAGGATTGAGGGAATCACAGCAATAACGTTTGTCTGTTAGCAAAATATCTCCTAAACCACTAAGTGGATCTTAATGACACCTTCAGGAATTAATTAACTTGTGGCTCCAGTTCAATTCAAAATGGCCGCCCCAGCCAAGTCCGCTTAGTTATAATTCAATTTTACCAACATGGAGCTAATATTTGGTGTGGTAGTAGCTGACAGTCCCTCACAAAAAATACTTTGGGCACTACAAAAGATATTTGCCTAAAACCGTAGTACTCTTTTTGTCTGTTAGCAAAATATCTGGAGCCACTGGTCGGGTCTAAACGAACCTTTCCCAAAGAAATGACTGGATGAACATCAACCCAATTAAAGATGGCTGCCACAGTTGATTACACAGAACTGGCCATAACTCAGTTTTACCCTCATGGAGCTAAACTTTGGTGTGGTAGTAGCTGAGAGTCATCGGCACAGAGCCACGAGTCCAGGTCCAAACATCAAGTCCTGACAGAAAGGAACGATCTACCGTAAACCTGGGGGTCAAAGGTGACGGGCGATTTCTTGTTACAATTAAAAAGATGTTGTTGTTTACAAACAGTTCGAGTGTAACAACAACAACAAAGCGGTTTCGTCTCATTAATGCTGAGAGAAATGACCGGGGCGCTTCAAGACGAACGTGTTGGAGTAATGAGGTGTGTCCCGTAAACACACACACACTCCCAGTCAGCCGGTGAGAGCACAGGGAGCTGGAGAAGCTTTAAACTGGCCCGAGAAAACTGACTGGAAGGTTTCCAGACGCCTCACTCTGGACATGTCTTCAAGGACAATCAGCTAAACAGCTGATATTAAGGGAGCGGTGTGAAATCGATCGCTCAAGGAGCTCTGCGCCGCAGAAACGGCTGCTAATTAGTCACGGCTAAAGGAGTGTTACAGAGCGAGCGGGATTTAATCTGAATATAGATCCTGCAGCTCTGGAGCGGCTCCGTTTGTTCTCAGTCGTGCACTAACCTCCAAACCTAGATGTTTTTTTTTTCCCTCAGTTGGCAGCTTCCTCCATGTAAATACACTGAAGTCTCTTAAATTCCTTCAGAACATTAAAAATCAAACGTCATCGCTCTGTTTTTACCCCAACACGCTGCTTTTAGCTGATTCTGCTCATTTTAGGCGTTAGCTACAGATTAGCTAACTGTAACCTTCTGCTACTGTTTTGCTCATTTCAGCTTTTAGCAACATTTTTCTGTAACTACATATTAATTGTAGCTTTTAGCTATAATAAGTTTTAGCTATGGTTTTCCTATTTTTCAGAACTCTGTGTACATTTATGTGAAATGCAATAATACAACCAGAACGGGAGAGGTCAAAGGTCAATTAGAGACACGTTTCGCTCGGCTGTCGTTGAGAATTAATTTAGTTCGGACATTCTGTAGTTTAAGTTTTACTCTAAACGAGGCCGTTTCTTAAATTTTTCTCCTTTTTGTCTTTTTGTCTTCCTGCAGAAACTGAAGCAGAAGAACCAGCAGCTGAAGCAGATCATGGACCAACTCCGCAACCTCATCTGGGAGATCAACTCCATGCTGGCTGTCAGGAGCTGAGCCACACACACACACACACACACACGCACACACACACACACCATCCACCTGAAGGAGAGGACGAGTGGGCCGAGGCTGCACTTTGCTCAAGAAACAGAAACTTTTCTTCCAGATAAATGTTTGAAACAAAAACACAAAGGACTCGTTCTGGTGTCAAACGCTTCTGTTTACGTTTCACTCAGCATCACAAGTCGTCATTATTCAGGTTTGATCTCTGCTTGAAGGAATGAAGCTTGTAGAAATATTTAAAATGATCTGTTGTTTTTTTGCTCGATTTAAAAACATCTGAAACTGAATTTAAAAGATTTACGGTCAATTAAAGTTCACCAGCCATCGTGGCAGAGTTGTTTCCTGCTGATGTACGACTGTCGGGATCTGACGAGATGTTTCAGCTTCTTATTTTTTCTGCTCTTCTATAAATCTTTTTGTAATTAAATACATTTTAAAAAGACGCTGTTGTTTTTTTTATTATTTTATTCCAAACCACTGAAGAGAATCATTCGGTTTGTTCGCTCGGGACTGAAAACGCGCTGGAGTCATTTTGGAAATTCAGATTTCATCTTTAGAATCGACGCAGTCACGTGCAGGGAATCAAACCTTCAACTCTGTTTATTTATTTACCAGTCAGCCGTTTGCTGCAGCGTTCAGGTTCAGGTTGTTCCGGTCACTTCTTCAGACACGGAGATACTTTTTAGATGCGTCTGTAAAAACATCCAGTTTTAACTAAGTGTTGACCGACGGTGAGTCCAGTGCAGGAAAATGAAGCTGCAGACGTGTCGAACAGGAAGACAACAAAACCACGCACGGGGTAAAGGGACAGTTCAGATAATTGTTGTTAACGTAGACAAACACAAAAACGAGCAACAATGTATTTGTCATAGCGCGATAATAGAACTGGACTAAAAATCCTTCAGAAGCTGAAGAGCATCTTTAAGGCTCTTTTTGCCATTTAACGAGGACAGAGGGCCAGTTTAAGACTTTTGCACAGTTCTGTTTATCCTAATGTGCGCCTCTGAATTTCCTCTCATACGACAGGCGGTTTTATTTTTATCTGTTTAGGGGGAGTCCACACGGGGACGTGAAACGTTTGAGACGAGCTGCTGAATAATTCAGGACGGAGCCGGGGTCACGTGTTACAGGCTTCGGTCCGCGGGGAGACACTGGAGGACGGACGCAGCGTTGAGAGGCTTTCAGCAGCGCGGGGGGAGAAATCAATGTTCTGAGCGGCGACTAATGAAGCCTCCCTCGGTGTCCGACGCAGAGGTGGTGATTATATGAGCGCAGAGCTGAGGGACCGAACAAACAGGGAGTCCTCGCTCAGCCGAGGTCAGGGGCCGAGTACTTGTACACACGTACTCCTCTGTCTCAACCGATGAAACGGAACAAAAACACGTGAAACAGTTTCAGCGTGTCAAAGGTCAGATTCAGACGCTACGTCAAGTCTGTTCTTGCGTCGTAAAGCGAACGACTTTTTAGAAACGATTTAATAAAAGATTAATCCATCGCGGCGTGAAGATGAGTTGGAAACACCGCCTCCACTACGTGTGTAAATCGGCTACAATTGTGTATTTCTATAGTTTCCTCAAATGATTGGGGTGGCCGGTGGGATTGTGGAAGTTGACTCATGAAGGCCACCACTGGCCACCCCTCGGCTCCGCCGTTGTGCCTGGCGCACCGCCACGAACAAACGAAACATGAAACTCTCCTTATCCACCGTGTAACTGCGCACCAAAAACATTAAGGTTTACTCGCTGCCTTTGATCAGTTCCAGTCCAGAAAAACATCTAAACAAACTACAAACATTCACTCTTCACACCTGTCACCATCGTCTTAGACCAGAAGGGTGTGAGCTACAACCGTTTGGTCAAACCTTGTAAAACTGAGCGGTGGCCATCTTGGATCGACTCCATTTATTGGTTCGTGTTATTTTGCTAACAGACTCTGTTGACTTCAGCAGATATTGTTAATGTTTTAAAACCAGACCTTGCACAGTTGGTGCTCGGGGTACGTGTTGGGGATGACTATAAGCCACTACCAAACTTTAGCTTAGTGTCAGAATGGTTGAGTTACAGCGAAGTGTTTGCTTAGCTGTGGTGGCCATCTTGAATCAGGATGATCCCAAGAGTTAATCAGTTGTAGATCTACATAAAGAGTTGCATTAAAGTTCATCCACATGTCATGAAATGACAAAGACACGGAGACATGGACGAAGACACTGTCGTCTCTACCATCGGTGACAACTAGGCCTGTCGTGATAAACAATAAATCAATTAGTGATAAATGAAAATTATCTACCTCATTTTCATTTATCGGCTTCATTTCTTCGTGTCTCTCTTTCTACTGAAGACACTGGACAAAAGGCTCAACTCCGGTGCTCTTCGTTGACCGCTCCCTTTCTCTTTAAAACCCGTTTTAACCATCCCAAACCGTGTTTTTGGATCGGTAGAAGCAGCTAAGCTACGAGCTAAGCTAACAGCTAACCTCGGGGAAAAAATCTCCGTCTTGTCGAAGTTCCAAAATTCACAATTGAAACCTGCGCCTTCGTGTAAAAAGCTTTTCTCTGCAAAAAGAAGCTGAGAACTTGTTTACTGATTTTTTTATTATAAGCTTTGTGTGAAAAATGCTATGCTAAAGAGCTCAAAACACACCGAGCATCCATCATTTTGAGAACCAAAGTGAGACAGCCCATGTCACGTCAAGGGGCCTCCCTCCCATTTTTTTTAAGAGAGCCGCTGCTCGCTCCCTCACTATCTATCCTTCAGTTCAAACAGTCTTATACTGCCATCCAGTGGTAAAAAAGGTACCACACCCAAAAATTAACCAACATTTCTTTGTAAATTTGACAATTACTAATTATTGTCAAATTTCAAACAATATTATCGTTTATCGCAATAATTTCTGAGACAATTAATCGCCCGGCAAAATTTGTTATCGTGACAGACCTATGGACGACGAGTCTGAAATGTCCCAGGAGTTGACAGACCTGAACATTTGTACCAAAGTTTTACGTCTCTTGAAAACGTTTTGGCAATAGTTCAGATCTTCCCAAGTGTAACGGTGTAAAAAAAAAAAAAAAAATCTTTTACACTTGAGAAGATCTGAACTATTGCCAAAACGTTTTCAGGAGACGTAAAACTTTGGTACAAATGTTTAGGTCTGTCACGATAACAAATTTTGCCGGGCGATTAATTGTCTCAGAAATTATTGCGATAAACGATAATATTGTTTACTGAACAGTTAATATCTTACCTGCTGTAGATAGCTGTCTGGAGAGTTTAACTGACCAGACTGGTCGAAGTGTCGTCTTTGGTTTGTCTCTGGTCGTCCTCACAACAGAGACACAACTTTAACTTTGGTGGGCAAAGTTTCTTCGGTTCTTCAAGAGAGTCCATATTTGTGCAGAAAAGTGCCATTAACTAACTAAAAAGAGACAAAGACCTTCAAATATAATCAAATATGAGTTTATTTTTTTATAAATCATTCTTACAAAATTGACATTTATCTATTTCATTTGTGGCCTCTATAAAAGTCTCTTAATGACGGAGGAGGGAGGGGAGGCGTCAGGACAGCTGTGCTCAACGTGTTCGTCACCGACATCGGAAACAGGAAGTGGTCATGCGTCGTCACCGTAGCAACAGTGTCCAAACACAACATGAGAACGGGGGCGAATGGAAGCTGCGACTCATCCAGTGTGTGAAATCAGGAACGTTCAGTCCGTTCTGGGAAGAACTCAGAACGTGAAAAGGCACAAATCAAGAACGGGGCGAGTTTCCAGCGGCGCCAGCGCGACCCGGGACGTTTTAGGTGAATCAACTTTCATAACTTGCATAAAGTTTCTCTGATTCGACGGAGGGAATGGCGATTCAAGCCCAACTCGGGAACCGTTATTGCAAATAATTCTAGATCACTTTTCTTTTCAGGAGTTGAAACTGCAGCTGAAAATGTTGGAAGTCTCTCGGGGAGTTCTGAATTAGAAAACTTTAGTGACGGATGTTTTCCTGCTGCAGAATGTGGCGTCCGCGATCGATACGGACGTGCTCCTCGGAGACGCAGGATTAGTCCCGACGTTCTCGCTTTTAACAAACGTATGGCGCTGAACGTTTTCTGCAGAACTGACGGACGAGAAAAGAGAACGGTTCTGCGGAGATGAAGTCAGGACCGAGCTGTTCTCACTCTCAGTGACTGAATGTTTTGTTTTTTCAGAAACGAAGTCCGTCCCGCTGTAAACCCGTTTGAATAATTAGTTTTAGACACTGAAGGTTTTACAAAGAAAAACTTTACAGATCAACGAGCTGCTTTGGGAACATGGCGACAGAAAGGCCACTAAAAGATTTTGTTCGTGAGGTTTAAAGGGACAGTTCAGATCTTTTGAAGTGGGGTTCATTAAAACTTATATGAACAGTAAATATCTTACCTGCTGTAGATAATCTTGTGCAAACCTCGACATCACCATCAGTTTTGGACAACAGCAGCTAGCTGTAGCACTTCCAACAAGATGGTGAAAAATCTATTTTTAGATTTTATGTGCAGTCAGCAGAATAGTTTCTGCTCGGTGACATTTGTCCCAGCAGAGTTACCGTAGCTTCCTGTAGCTCAGTGGTCTTCAGTCTTGGGGGGGCACTTTCCAGCATGCTTTAGTAGTTTCCTGCTCTTCAGCAGCTTGTTCATCCCTCATTCCTTCAAAATGAGTCAAAGCAGAGAAACGACTAGAACCTGCAGGACTGTGGACCCCCCAGGACCAGGACGGGGGTCTCACTGCTGAACCTGAAGAACAAACATTTGTGTATAATTTTCCGGTGTGAGACACAATGCTAATCGTGCTAGCTGTCTGTAACAGGGTTTTCTGACGTGTTGTGCGCTCTTCGGTGCTACAGCTAGCTGCTGCCGTTTGCACTTGTAAATAATCGTGTAACAAAGTTTGAGCTTGGAGTACTTAAAGACATCAAACCACTTTAGTCCTGGTCTCGCTCAGACCAGCCGTTAGCTCATCGATCTGAGTTAAAACTATTTTTCTAAACTGTGTTCAAAACGTCTTCTGCAGCAGGTAAGATAATAACTGCTTATAACTTCTCAACAAAACCCCACGTTAAAAAAACGTGACCCGTCACTTTAATGTGAACAAATGCACCACAGGAAGCACAACGAGGGGGGACGTTTGATCGTTGGCTCAGAGGTCGTCTGAGGTCGTCTGATATGTCGAGAGAACATTTGAACGAGCATTTAGGCGACGTGACGATCACGTTTAAAGGCTGGAACTAATCGTTTGTCCCGTGAGGGCGGCGCTCAGAGACCAGAAAGAAGAACAACAAAAACAGTTCGGGTTAGAACGACGTTCGTTTCGCTCGTCCCGTCGGAGTGGACTCTGAGCTTCTGTTTGGATGAAACAACTTTTCAAGGCTCTGCAAAGACGCAGACGAGCGGACGCGAAAATGGAAACAAGAAGAGGAAAGTGCATCTGCTGTGGCCAAGAACGAGAAATGAAACGGACGGTCAGGAACCGTGTAAAGGAACGAGGCGACGATGTTTGTGTAGCTGAAAACGAACTTGCACCGTCAGCCTGAACGCTGCCGCCGGCACCTGATCAGTGGAGACGAAGCAGGGCTGTGTTCTGAGTCCAGTTCATGTCCCGATGCAGATGAGGGAGGGTTGCGAGGGGCAACCAGTAGGATTTGTGGTAGGTTTGGTTGCCAGGTTAGCCACCACGAACACCTCCCTCTCTACCGTCCTGCTCGTGTGCAGCGAGCAGGACGCCGTCCTCGTCGTCAGTAGTGTGTGCCGTCTTTTTGTCTTAAATCCAAATCTAAGTGTTTTTCTTTGTCCCGTCCCTCCTGCATCAACTCCTGGCAGCAGCAGCGCTGCGGTCATTGGCATTGTGCTGAGTGGAAGACAGAGCGTCTCTCCCGATCCATCCCGCCGTAGTCCGACTCTCCACAGAGTCCCGCGCCTCCCCCTGCGTGGGGTCTCCCCCGAGGGGGCGGCGGTCTTGTCAGAGCCTCTCGATGTCCCTGTATTTTTTACGCAGGATGGAGACTTGGTCCTTGAAGAGGACGGGGTCCAGTCTCATCTGGGAATGGATGAGTGGCATGGTGCCAAACCAGCTGGCGAACTTGTTCATGCAGGTCTGCCGCTGGGCGAAGTGGTCCGGGTCGGCCCAGCGGGACGCCCTCGACGACTGAGGGCGAGACAAAAACAGGAAGTTAGATTTCAACAAAGTCCATGCTCAATAATCCAGTTAGAATCTAACAGGAAGTTAGATTATTTAATCTGCATGTAATCTAAGCAGATCCTCGACTACATTTTAAGAAGACGACGGCAGTTTTTGTGTTTGAAGTTTTAAGGAGGAAAAGTTATGACTTTAAAGAATAAAATAAAAACAAAGATGAATTATTAACATATGTACAGAGGAGGCTCTAAATAATAAACGGCTCTTTACAACCAGCGGTGACACATTTTTTGGAACATCTGTGATTTGTGCCGACAAAAGTTTGTCTCCGTTACTTTAAATTATCTCTGGAAAACAAAAAACAAACACGACACGAACGAGTCTGAAATAACTCAACTGCAACCTTTGATTTAATAAGTTCAGCTGCAGTGACGGGCGACAAACGAGCGAGCGGCCGACATTTACATCCCTCCATGAATCTGCTGCTGCGGCGCTTTTTGTGAGGATGCTGAGAAACGATGCCGAGTGGCAGAATAAACAAACATGATGCTCATGGAGCAGGAGCTCCATCATTTCATCCATGTGGACGTAGTGACCCCCTCTTACCTGTCCCATCATGGTCTCTTTGTACTGCTTCTTCTGTGTGATTTTAATGGGGGGCAGCTTGGTGACAGCAGACACCAGGAAGTTCATCAGGATGTCCTCGCAGTTGGCCAACTGGTCCACCATGTTCTTCAGGCTGGTGGGTAAGTAGTGGGTGTACAGGAAGTGGTAATACCTGAAAAACACGACCACTCAGCTTGAAGCTCGTCTCAAACACCAGTTATTTAATGACGTCATTAGTTGTTCTTCATCACAAAGACTGAAGGAAGGTTTGTTTCATCACATGGAGCCTCTTGAATAAACCCTGAGGTAAATAAATAAGCCCTGCAGTACCCATGCCAGGCCAGTGGGGGCGGTAACATCAACATTATGATTTAACCTGCAGCACTTTAGAAATGAATCCAAGAGACGAGACTGAGTTTCAAGACATTCAGTTGCTGCAGGGCAACTCAACTGGTGGCTCAGGGGCCAAATCAGGCCCACGGTGCTCTGTTCAGCCCACCAGTGGGTTAATTGTTAAATAAAACTAGATTTTACTGTAAATCTTAAAACAAGCTTACTTAATGAGATAACTGCTGGATGTCCAGCCCCCGAGCTCCTGGATTTCATTAGCTGTGCCCCCCCCCCCCCCCGATAAATTTATTTGAATATCCCTGGACTAAAGGAATAAACTTCTAAAACCATGTCCTCCCATTTAATAACGAGGTGAAGAATAAAGTTAAACTGCTACAGCTGTTTGTCAAAAACAGATTTTTAACATATTTGTCTTACAACAAGCTGTTTAAAGAAAAACAAGTTTTTGTGGAAGACAACTCCAATGAAGCAGGAAAAGTTCATTTAGTAAAATATTTGTGTGCACGGGTTAAATATTAAAGGTTTACGTTTATTTTTCTCTATGGATTCAACATCTGATGTATTAAAGTGGTTCATGGTTTTGCTGACGTCTCAGACTTTTGTCTTTTTAAACTACCGTAATTTCTGGACTATTGGGCGCACCCACCCTATAAGCCACGCCCACTAAATTAAAAAATTTATATTAATACGTACATAGGCCGCGCTTGTCTATTAGCTGCGGGTTCTTATGTTGTAATGAGATATTTACACAAAGACTTTTTAAACTTTCAATTAAATACATACAGTAAATGTTTGTTTTCTGAACAGTGCCTGTAACACCACCTCCCAAGAGACTGGGCAGTGATGCGAGCGCCCGGGTGTGACGAGGCTAAATGTTTTGGCGGCATGAAGCTCGTTAGCCCGTCAAAAAAATAAAAATAAATAAAAATAAAATCCATAAATAAGCCAAAACGTTCAAAGCCTGTGGAAAACGCTGCGGCTTATAGTCCAAAAATGACGGTAGTCTGTGTTTAAACTGTGTTTCCTGAGGCTGAGCTCAGAGGAGCAGGTGAGGTGTGTACCTGTGGAACATGGCGGCGCCGGTCAGAACCATGGAGTAATCGTTGGTCCATTTGGACGTGTAGCCCCAGCGCTGCTTGCTGCTGTCCCAGAAGTGGCTGCGGGCCGGGTAGCCCACGATCCGCTCAGGAAAACTCTGCCACACGGTGAACGCAAAGTCCACCTGAACACAGACACGTTCTACAAGTTCAGCACGACCGGGTCGGACACAGAACCAAACGCTGCTTATATTTCTGCATCGGTGATCAACGACGTGACGTCAGGTAACTACAGATTCTGTTATGAAGAATAAACACTGAAAAAAAGGATGTTCTCATAAGAACCATGTTTCTACTCAGCAGGGTTAGAAACTTCTACGAGTGTTCGGTAAAAACGCATCTTTTCACGGCTTCACAAACCAAACAACGAATGAAACATTAAATCTGCTCAAACCTCGTTAAGACGGGACTCGTCTAATGACGCTCAACGAAACGGAGCTGTAAATTCACACGTTTGTAACAAACTTCTCAAAGAGGGGATGAAAGAGACGACACGGAGGAGTAACAAAAGAAAGAGACGTTTTGGAGAAAAAGCCGAACATCACGACGAGCCGACAGCTGCCTGAAGCTAACTTCAGCTGAGACGATCAAGGTCTTCAGAAACTTCAAGGAAAACATCAAAAAGGCTCAGAACAGCTGCTTTTCCTGCGGCGCGTGTTATCTGGTTCCACGTGAAGTTTACGCTGGAGACAGCACTGTGCAAAAGTCTTGAGTCTGTTTTCAGACTTTCTTTGGACTTCGGCTGCTTTCTCCATGTTTTTTGTTCAGAACCTGGAAAAACGTCTTTAATAAATAATAATAAGACGTCCTCAGAGCTGGACAGCTGCAGATGATGATCCCGCTAACGACAAGAAGGACCGTGCAATCAACTTGAACGTTTTGTCATTGTTTTCCAGTCGTAGCGCGTGGAGGTTGAAGAGAAAATCGTAGAAGAACTGGGAAGAAAATAAGTGAAAATCTGAACAAAGTCCAAAAAACACTTTAAAATCCTTCAGTACTTTTTATCAAGACCGCTTGAAAAGATCAAAGTTTGGCTGCTTGGAAGGAAAACGAGGTAGTTGGGCACAAAACTGAATGTAAACGTGACAACTTTATATTTTAACATCTAAACAGAAGCACGGCGGAAAAGACGAGGTACCGACTCCCGCCTCACTTTACTGCTGTAAACAGAAGAACGTTCTTTGTTCTCAAAGCAGCCGTTTGGAGACGGAAGATGATTCTCAGCTTCTCTTTCTTTCAAAGTCCTGCACCTGTTTGGGAACGCAGGTGGAGTTCGTTTTAACCAATGAGGTTTTCTCCACACAAACTGTTCAAAGCAGCACCTGGTTTCCCATGATGCAGCAGCAGAACGACGGGAAGCATCCCGACTGCACGTGGAAGAAAAATACCTCAAAACGTTTCTGTTCCCAATTAGTGGATCGAAGATCAGAAGTAGAAACAGGAGAACAAAAAAGGTCGAATCAAACGTTTCGTCCCCCATCCAGAGGACTTCCTCAGTCTACGGAAGGTTCCAACAGGAGGTTGGTTTGAAACAACAGTGAAAGCTACCTATGGGACAGATCTGGTTGGCATGCCGTAGACTGAGGAAGTCCTCTGGATGGGGGACAAAACCTTTCTCACTTAAACTGGTCCAGATGATTTTTGTTATCCACCTGGATGATTGACAACAACAAAAAAGATGGAGATACCTCTGTGGTGGACAGCACTGTGTCTTCGTCCAGGCTGAGGACGGCGTCCGTCACGATGCTGTCGTACGGCAGGAAGCGGCTGCTCATGACCTGCAGGGGGACAGGAAGCAGAGCGGTCAAACCTCACGTCGTTCTGTCAGAACTGAAGCTGCATGAAGGGGTTGGATCTCCATGGAAACACGTCTTTCATCATACGACACCATTCACAGTCCAAACACCAAACTGAACATGGGTTCACCTCAGAACAACGAGACCTGCTACATGAACACCAGGACTGTGAGAAACTTTTAATCCACCCTGATCTCCTTAGACTTTCCTGTCATCTTTTAAAGTGCTCCTAATGAAACGTTCTTTGGACTTCGGCTGCTTCTTAGCTCGTCTTCTGCTCCGGCACACCAGCTGAACAGAACCTGAGAGATGAGTCTTCCTTCAGTTGATCAACTTGTTACTTTTTATTCATATTTGAGTCGCTTCATGAACTCAAAACATCTGAAAAGTTTAATTAAAATGTTTCTAGAAGAGTTTTATTATTCTAATTTGTTGCTGATGCAAAATTATTGGATGTAGGAAAGATTTCTTCTCTCACTTTGTCCTAAATGTTTTTTCAGTGCATCCTGAGATACAAACTAAATGTAAAGTGGACTTTAAACATTTTACTTTATAAAGTTGGTAACTTCAGTGGTTTGTGATCCAAACGTGGACATCGAGAACTTAAATCAAGTCTTGGACAGAAAACGAGTGAAAAAGAAGTGAAGGTTCAGGTTTTGTGTCTCAGAAACTCGACTGGCGACGTGTAGACGACGGAGGCTCAGGCCGCTGGTGGAGCTCTGCTGCTGAAGCAGGTTCCAGGCAGCAGGCCCGTCACGAGAACACATTTTGCTGAGCGATTAATCGTTTCAGAAGTTACTGCGATAAACGATAATATTGTTTGAAATTTGACAATAATTAGTAATTATCCTAGAAACAATACAAATTAGTTTTAACTGGCCATGAGGTGGTGCTCCCACAGTAATATGGAGCCGATACCAGTTTCTATCATCAGATCAATAGAAACTCCTGAATGGGTGGAACACGTTGGGCGTCACGTGTTTTACACGTGGCTCAGATTTCTTCTGCTCCTCTGAAAACACCAACGTCTCCAGGAAGCAGGGAGACACAAAGATCAACATCCTGAGGACATTCAGATGGAAAGTCTTTGACCTGTTGCCGTGACGATGGTGAAGTAAACAACCTCCCACACAAACAAACACAGTTATGACATGTAAACGCCAGAACAAAGAGCCACATGTTTGGTTTTCTGTTATTCAGAGCAGTTTTTAAGGTCGGGAAATGTTTTCCTGCACCGAGAAGCAGTTTGGAGTTCACCGTTGACCCGTTTTCTGTAAAAACACCTGCGATCCTGCGCTGCAGGAGTGACCCGACTCCCAGCAGGTCCCGATGACTCCGACAGCTCCGGGCAGTAAACAAATAAACAAAAGGACATAATGGATGCCGTCACACAGCGTGAAGCCCGTTAACCTGCAGCTCTGCGTGGCTTCGTTAAGAATCAACGAGACGGAAGAAAACCTTCAGTTCGATGATTTTATCTGATCAAACGTTCAAAACTCTGAACTGATTCATGAGTGGAGTTCAACAGAGCTGCTGAAAACAGGCGGACATGGACACTCTGAGCACAGAGTCATTTCAATGACAAAAACTACAATATTTGTACAGTTTGACTAAAGTTTAGTGCTGCGCTGGATCCTAGTTCTGCCATTAACTCAACGTCTGTTAGCAAAATATCTCATGAAGCGCTGGATTGCAATAAAGCTCTCGAGCACTAATCATTGGATGAACTAGTGTCAGTCAAATCCAAGATGGCTGCCTCAGCTTATTGCCATTAGCCAAAACAAACAAACAAATCCAGTTACTCTGAGTGTTACACACACTGAGCTGACATTTGATGTGGTAGTAGCTGAGAGTCGTCCCAGCAGATGAACAGGTTCATTTTAATGGTCAAAGCTGGAGTTGAAGAGATAAAAATATTGATTTGACATCCAACAAAGTTCAGTCAGGTCATCTGGACGGTTTCTTTTTGTTGTTGAGACATTTCATCTTTCATCCAAAGGACTTCATCAGTCCGAGGAGACACAAACTCAGTCCCCACAAGCAGCAAACTCACTTAGTGGACCAACCAGTTTGATGGTGATAAGATGTTTCTGGAGTCCACCCTCTCCCCTGTCGACTCCTCTGAGGCAGCCATAGCCAAAGTGGTTCAAAACATCAAAGAATGATGAAGTCTGACTGACGAAGTCCTTTGGATGAAGGATGAAATGTCTCAACAAAAAAAGAAACCGTGATTTGTTGGATTTTTTTTTACCTGGATTATTGAGCATGAACTTTGATGATTGATTTGACATCTTTTTGTTTGTGGGTTCTCTGACGGATCTTCACCCTAAAACGTAACTTCCAGCTCCGACAGCTGAAACGTCCGAGACACAGGTGTGTTTAAAGAGACCTCCTTCCCTTTTACCTTATTTTCATCATAACTGCAGAAAGAGAGAAACAAAACTCAGCTCCATGATGTCCAGCAGAACGTGAAGAAGACGGAGGGAAGCAAAGGGACAGTGACAGCGAGACAAACGGAGGGGAGACAAAGACGGGACGAGGCTGACGTTTGTAACGTTAGAAGTGAGACGTGTTCGCCCGGGACTTCCTGCTGCTCTCCAGGAATGTGAGGAATCTGCCTCCAGCGCGTCGGCTCGTCCTCCTTTGGAAGAGACGGAGGCGGGAGGACCACATGGAGCTCCGCACGACTTAAACCAACATCTCAGGGGGACAGATGGAGAAAACAAGATGGACACTGAAGCAAACCTTCAGGAGGACCTCAGAGCTGTTAGAGGGGACGACTCTCAGCTACTACCACATCAAAATCTGTTCAATTCACAGAGTTTGTAGCCACTTAACTCTAAGCTGGTTGAGGCGGCCATCTTGAGCGGACTTGACTCCAAAAGTTAAGTTTCTCGATGAGTTTCAATAAAACTCGTCCAGTGGGTCATGAGATATTTTGCTAACAGAATCATTACTGCTCACCTTTGACCTTGTCTTAACCTTCATTCTGGATGTAAGATACTGCAGCAAGCAGCCATGTCTGTGTGTGCAGCTGTGTTGTGTTAGCAAAATATCTCGTGAACAAGTGGATGAATTTTAATGAACCTGAACGTGATTATTAGATTCACATCAACTCCAGATTAACTCCAAGGGTGAAACTTATTTCAATTGGCCATGAAATTGGTGTGGTAGTAGCTGAGAGTCACCCTCAACACATCTGAGATCAGCTCAGTTTGAAACTCTGACGTTAAACTTACTGAACTGTCTCGATCTCCGGAGCTGCAGTAAAACTTGCGGCCATGTTCACTGCACACATGTATTGAAGTAAAACCGAAGGCACGGCCCGTTCTCCGTTTACGAGCCTTCACGTTCGTTTTGCAACACAAGCTGATCAAAGACGTCCTGAAATGTTTCTTCACCAGAATACCAACAAGAACACGATCTCAAGATTTCAAAAACTAAATTAAAAAAAGATGGAACCACCACCCCCGAAGGAAACGGGCGTGGGTGTATAGGAGCAGAATGAATACGAGAGAAAAGATAAAAAAGAAAAGGATCGGCGGGTGAGGAAGAGGATGAAAGTGAGGAGAGGAGAAGGAAAATGGCAGGAAAAGAGGGATGAAAAGCGTTTCCTGCCTCTCCCTCAGTGGGGTGGAAGAACACAGCTTGGCTCGCCGCGGTAAACACAAAACACCACAATCACAACAAACCACAGGCTGCCGACACACACACACACACACACACACACACACACACACACGCTGAGGCCTCCCGTTCTGATTGACAGCTTGAAAGGAAAACTCGGAGGCACGAGGAGGAAAACCTCAGACCGGCCGACCGCCGGCTGAGACACATGTGGAAACCACTTCCTCTGATTGGCAGCTGAACTTAAGCTCCTACAAGCCGTGAAGTGTGGGGGAGACAGAGGGGGAGGTCTTCAAATACAAATAAAAAAAATGGAAACTCTGAAACAAGAAAAATCTGATCTGTGTTTGGATGGAGAAAAAAAAATAATCTACTCGGAGAATCCACAATAATCCAACAGGCATCCTTCAACTTTCTGTTTTCTCTCGTTCTGCTCATCAGCACCAGAACACGGTCGGTCCGATCGGTTCTGAAACATCCTGCGGTACCCTCACGTCTGACACCACGTTTCACTGAATCAAACCATCATTCAGTTTGAGCGACACAGATCTACGCAGCTTTGCACCTCAGACTATAGATATCTAGCAGGAACCTGGAAGCTGAAGCCAGAACGGGACTGGTTTTCACCGTCGGCTGGTTCACGTCCCACGAACACAAACACAACATCGTCCTCGGTTAAATACTAATAAAAATAAAATTTATGGATAGACACTCGTCTATCTGTGTAATTTTACTGCAGATTATTCAAATAGTCATTTAAAATTAGTAATAAATCAGTCATTTCATGCTTTAAATGAAGGTCATGTGACACCACGGTTGTGTCAGGGAGGGGGCGGGGTTTAAAGCCACACATCTCCAGCGCACAGACTCTAGTTCCAAAAATACAACATGGCCGCTCCTGCAATCTGAGTCTTGTGGCTTCAAGTCCCGACGACGAGAGCAGGAGGGAGAGATGCTGTGTAGGAAGAGCACTTCATATTTATTTTACTATTTTCTTGAGCTTTAACTTTTAGATTTTAAGATGAAATTATTGTATGGAACGAATGAATGTCATAAAAAAACAAGCATTAAATATTTATTTATTTTTATTATTATTATTTTGAGGAGATGATCAAGAAAGAAGGTATCACACCTGGCATGTGGGGATTTATTATATATATATATAAATAAAAATACCATCTACCAATAAAGTGATAGTGTAATTGCTTGTGTGTGTGTCTGTTAGGAAAATATCTCACAAAATATATCACCAAAGAACGTCACAGAAAAAAGTCATTCCCAACTCAAAGTTCTGGATAAAAAATGTAAATTTATTTAAATTTTATTCTCCTTGTGCGACTTTTACCTAATAAAAAGGCATAAATATGTTTTGGCTTCACTTTATTCTTTTAACTTGTTTTTTTTTCTTTACAACCAAAATAAAACGCACATCTGATAAAAACCTGGTTGTTCTTCTAGTAAATAAAGTTAATAAATCTAAATAATAATAAAAGAATCCTGCACGGCCCATCTTTCCAACACGCGGCAGGCAGTCGCCTCGAGTCGTTCTTTCCAGCGGAGTATAAAATTCTCATTACTGAGGTTAAATTAAAAGCACATAAAGTCCGTTAATGGAATCAGAGCAGCACAAATCGAAACTCATTAACTCTCGGAGAATAAAAACGTGTCGAGATACAGTAGGTTTACCGTTTCAGAATATCACGAGCTGTGTAATTAGAAATGATAGGGATCGCACCTTTGAGGTGTCTGAGAAGGAGTGTGTGTGTGTGTGTGTGTGTGTGTGTGTGTGTGTTCAGGCTCACCTTATTCTCTCCCTCGATGACGATGACGGGCACTGAGGTGGCGGGCCAGCGGTGTTTGGCGGGGAGAGGCTTGTCGCAATTCCACAAGACGATAATCTGAAAGAAGAACGTTAGCGCCATCAGTACATTTCATCTCGTCCTGTTTGTTGTTGTTGTTGTTTTCTATCAGCAAAACAACGTTTCAGCTCGTTGCTGAATCAACCCGCTGAACGTTTGACATTTATGCGCCTTGTGACCAGTAAATGTCACCGTATTACAGCTGCTTCGATGCTAAAGAACCAAAAAAAGGGCAAGTAAAGCGATAAACTGTTTCCAATTATCAGCGCACAGCAGCTTTTACATTTCAGAGCAGAAACAACTCGGTCATGTTGCGTCTTCCGCAGCGGCTGGACACGTTTCCCAGCCCGCGTTTCACACGAGGACGTCGCGTTTACCACGACTCCGACATCAGCTCGGCAACCTGCAGGTCCACCGAGTCGCTGCACTACAACATCATTAATATTTAACAAGAGTCACACACGGATATACAAAATGTACCGGAGTGACCCCACACAGACTTTCACCCACGCTGCCCTTCATTCTGCTGTGAAACAACAGAGACACGTGAACTTGTTCCTGAGCAGAGACCCACACTGGAGGTCGTCTTGTTCTGAGCTGATTCTCACTCAGTCGGGTCAGGACAACCCACAGCGTTCAGGCAGAACAGAACTGGACTTAAAGAAACGTTTATCTGCTCTAAACGACAAAGCAAGCTGGAGAAACATCTGTAGCAGCTAGGGCATTAACAGAGTACTCGAGTAATCTACACATCGATTGCTAGGACATCTATCGAGGTTAAAAACGTAACGTCGAGTATCCGTAGTGACGTCATATTATGTGACCACCGTATGACCGTAGGGGGCGGTGTTGCACTGTTGCAGGTCACAGAGTATGGTGTAACACCGGGTCCAATCCACCGAACCAGAACCAGCTTCCTCTGACCTTGTTTCACAAACAAAAAGCAAAAAATATTAATCTCTAAACCTATTAAAAAAATCTATAAACACATTAATCTGTAAAACTAAACTTAATGCACACCACAGTTGGCGGTGGTCAACTTTCAGAGTGAAAAATGTGTAAAAAATGCCACCCTGGTCCTTTCGTGTGGACAGACAAAACGCAAACATCTGAAAACACTGATGTTGTAGCTCAGCTCCGTCTGAACAAACAGCCCCGAGGGGGACAGGAGTAAAAATAATGACAGACTCGGTGGTTTCACTTCAAAATCAGACGAGGCTGATGAACACGGTCTTGGATAGAGAAGAGAAAAACCTTTTTTATTATTACACCAACTCATCCGAGGCTTGATTGAACTGTCAATACTAAAAAACAAATGTTGAGAAAAACATCGACGATATACATCAATTATACTTTTGAAAACATTTGAGAAATGGGAATACTTTAAAAATCGACACTTTTGTATAAATATTTTAACCTGATATGATTTGAACATCGAGAATAAAACTCATTGTCCCTCGCCTGCGATTGTCCGTTATGTCCTCGTATTTGAACCGACAACTCCCGGGCAGTGGTAGTTTAACGAAAGACAAAGAAGCTCCACTTCTTCGTCGCTTCACGAGGAGGATTCGGTTTTTGCTCGTGTTCACCGTCCTCCCCCTCTTGGGTTTTGAAGCAGCGGCTCCACGCCTCGTTTCCAGGTCTTGGTGTATTTCAGTAGCAGCGCCACACGACCTGCAGCTCTGGTGTAGTTACTTACTACAGTGTTTCAGGTCGTTTCCGTGTGGATAAAAACATTTTGAGAAATGATGCCTTAATTAAAATGTTCTTTGTAGAAACAAGAAAAATATACTTTTAGAAAAACTGTATTTTCTGAGCGGACTGATCCGCTCCGTTTTAAATAATTTGATCACTACTGCTGCAGTCAGGATTTATTTATTTTTGTGCACGTTGAAAGTACGCCTGTCACAATAGAAAATTTTGCTGGGCGATTGATTAATTGTCTCAGAAATTATTGCGATAAACGATAATATTGTTTGAAAATTGACAATAATTAGTAATTATTGTCAAATTTAAGAAGAAATGCTGGTTAATTTGTTTTGAGTGTAGTACCTTTTCTAGACCACCAGATGGCAGTATAAGACTGTTTAAACTGAAGGATGGATGGTGAGAGAGCGAGCAGCGTGTCTTTAAGAAAAATGGGATGGAGGCCCCTTTACGTGACATGGGCTGTCTCTTCGTTTCTCAAAATGGCAGACGCTCAGTGTGGTTTGAGCTCTTTAACATAGCATTTTTCACACAAAGCTTTTAATAAAAACATCAGTAAATAAGTTCTCAGCTTCTTTTTGCAGAGAAGAGCAACTTTTTAGACAAAGGCACAAGTTTCAACTGTGAATTTTGGAGCTTTGACAAGACGGAGATCTATTCCCTGAGGTCGACCTGTTAGCTTAGCTCGTAGCTTAGCTTCTCAGCTTAGGATAGTTGAAATGGATTTTAAAGAGAAAGGGAGGATTCAGTGAAGATCACCAAAGTTGAGCTTTTTGTCATCCATTGTCTTCAATAGAAAGAGACACGAAGAAACTATAAATGAAAATGAGGTTGATAATTTTCATTTATCATGTGATTAATTGATTTATTGTTTATTGTGATAGGCCTAGTTGAGAGGTTCCCTCAATGTCGAGCCTCTTCTAGTTTATTTGTCTTCTGACTTTTGTGGCGAATTAACAGAATTTATGAAGCAGAGAAGTGAAAATCCACTTCTGCATCACGCCTCAATCCACATTTCGTGGCCCGTCACCTGTCAGGGACTCATCAGGCAGAATCCGGTCCTGTAGCGCCCAGCTGCTGTGCGTCATCCAACATCTGCCCTGCTGGAATGTCCTTGAGCAAGTCTGTAAATTAATCCATCCAGATTCCACCGTGCAGAGCTGTGGTTGACGCTGGGCTCAGGCGTCCCCGACGGAGGCAAACCGCAAGAATTTCCCTGCAGCAATCAATAAAACCTCACATTACTCTGACATTAGCTACGTCACACACAGCGGCTCCCCCCGGAGACTCTGCTCCCTGACTGGACCTGCCAAATAATAGGCTGGGGGGTATTTAGATGAGTTAAGACGTTCCCAGGAGACTACAGCCGCTGTGTGTTAGTATGCAAAGTATGTTGTTGGCGTAGTTAAAACGATGTACAGCTGTTTGACAAATCACAAACTCATCCCACCATTCTGAGCAAATATAGATGAAAAAATCTCATGAGGGTAATGTAGGTGTAAACACTGCTGTCACTGTGAGATAACAGGTAGACGGTCTGTGCACACACACACACACACACACACACACACACACACACACACACACACTGCTGAGAGTTAATCCACCCTCAGACTTCTATTGCAGTTTGATTAGAGAGACAGATGGTGTCTCTGTCAGCTCACCTCCCTCTCACGGCGTTGATAGAGGGTTTTGGACATGTGTTCGCTCTGAAGGCTCCACAGCACGAGGAGGAAGACACGCTTCCATCAAAATGTCTGAGCACAAACTCACGTACGAGCACCGCAGGAGGTCCAGTGCGTCAGACTGCGCTTCAAAAGCTTTGTGGCATCCAACTTGGCCCTCTCCACCTTCAGTATTCTTTCTCTCCATTCATTTATTTATACCCTTCCCTCTTCTGTTCGTTGCACAGCAGCACAAGCCCTCCATCTCTCCTCTTTTCTGTGCACTAAGAGCGAAAGAAAACACCCCGGCTGTGCACCCGGCTCTCCACTCTGCATGCACAGCCTGAAGAAGGCAAACACAAAAGCACCTCCATAAAAATTAATAGCTGGGTAGAATTTACTCATTCAACCTGCTGTTATGAGAGAATGCGCTGCCGAAAGAGTGCCGATAATAGCTCAGACTTCTGGGCTGTACCAGGAAAAGCTGAATATCAAGGCCTTTTCTTTTTGAACAAACTAAACTGAGTTTATGGAAGAAACTCTCAAAGTAGTCTAGTACCGATGGCTGGAGTTGATGGGAATTAATATATACCGTACTTGACGCCATACACGTCATATTAGTCCAAATATGTCTAATAAAGTGGGAAAAAACAAATACGACGCTTCGCCGTTTAAGTCGCATCTATTATGCGTCACCGCTCACAACCTGGAAACGTGGGCCTGTGTTGTGTCAAAAATTGATTGGCTGCCAAATGGCGGTCGCGGGAGCATGCACGGGAGGACTTTAACAAGATTAACACTTAAAAACAATTATTTGTTTTCTTGACATTATAGTAAAGGTGTGTTTTAGTTTAACTTTTCCTTAATAAATGCGCTTTAATGGTCAAATTAGCTGCATTTTGCCTGGGCGACGTGGCGAACTGCAGCTGATTTGACGTTTGCTCCAGAAGCTCCAGAGCGAGACGACGGTGGCCTGTATGGCAAGCCAAGTGTCTCATTAATTGCCACTTATCTCTTAATGAGACACTTGGCTTGCCATAAAGTTGAGGGCCCTCTAGTGGCTGGAAGTGGTAGTGTTCAATATTTTCAAAAACAAATATGTTACTTCGCCATATAAGTCGCAGGCATACTAGTTTATGCAAAAAACTGTGGCTTATACAGCAAAAATTACTGTAGTTTTTTGTTAAACTGTACTTCTTCTAGTGATGTATGGAGCTTTCTTCAACAACTGATGCTGCCGTCATCACTGAACTGGAACGTTTGGCTGTTTTACAGAGATTATTTGGAAAAGTATCTAAAAATTTGGCCTTAAGTTTAGGATAGGCTTGAAAACTTGTTTTTGAGGTTAGGGTCAGTTCGAAGATTTGTTTCAAGTGGGTAGAGGGAGTCGGGGTTTGGGTACATTCCTAGGGTTTAAATAAATGAGGGACTTGGTTTGGGGTGTAAAAGGATTTAGGGGAACCATTTTGTGGTTTGAGTGAGTTGAAGACAGTTTTGTTTTTTTAAGTTAGGATAGTTCAGGGACCTAATCCTGAAGGATAAGGTTGGATAGGGGTAGGATTACTGGTAGTTAATGGTTCTTGTATTAAAAGTCAAATGGTTTTTATGGCGAGTTGGGACTTGGTTTGAGGAGAAAAGTGGTTTAAAAATATTTTTGATGTTTGGGTGGTTATCCCTCATCGTAGGAACAAGGATGGGTTAGTGTAGGTTTAATATTTGGTCCTTGTACAATTGGTTTGAGGGTAGTTATTTAATATAGGGAACAGAGTGGCTTAAGTGAATTTTAGAAAGAATAATTTGGGGAATTTAGACCCCAAGTCTGTATGAGTTTAGATTCTAGTTGTTGTAGTTTCAGTAGACTTGAGTTCATAGGCTCCTTGAGTTGTGATTGTTACTTGAGATACCAGGTATAGCATGTTCAGTCACTGAGTCTTATAGTTAGGAGTCAATGGTGACCCTTAAATACAAGAATAAATTGTTCTGAGGTTATTTACAATAAGTTTAAAGCTTATTTTGGGGAGTAGGTGGTATAAGGCATTGGTTTTTACACGTAAAGTAGGTATTCAGTAAATATAAATAGGTAAAAGAAGCTTTTTGGGGCTTGGATAGAGTGAAGGATTAATCTGCCTGAACTCTCAATAACAGACGGTCGTCGATCTGAATCTCCTGCTGACCACGAGATAAAAATATATTCTGAACACAATGCACCCAAAAGCACGCCAAGTTTGCGGACACTTCTAGAGTGTGTTACGTTCCCAGACTGTGGTATCCACAGCTACACGGTGTTGCACCAATTCATGTATCTGAACAGGTCCGACTCATTTAATTAACATTCACAGTTTGCTTCAGAGTCCAAGGCGAGCTTACACTGGTCTGACGAGCTAAACACAACACCAAAGTTAAAAGTCTTGTCTTTATCTTTATACGACATCATACACTTCTAGATATACCTTTAGATATGACGTATTGATGCATTGTTATAGAAAATGCATCCCCTCCTCACAAAATTGGACTTAGACTTCTCATGCAGTGTGGTGGCTGCGCGCACACATGCACGCACGCACGCACACACACACACGCACGCACACACACGCACACACACACAGACACACAAAAAGCAGCCATCTGGGAGTGAATTCCATTTCATTTCCCGGTTTAGTAAGGAGCAAGCAGGGGAATCAATACAAGCCAGCTCCAGCTGTGCTGCAGGGGTTTCGGCTGCCATAGAGACAGATGTACCACAGCTACAAACTGCTGCTCTAATTCAATCCTCCAGAGTTAATTCACAACACACACAAACCGAGGATGAGCCCTGTTGTTGCTCTGGTTGGAAAATGCGATTGTGAAACAACCGTGAGAGACACGTAATGCAGCCAGATTTTATAAGACACCAGGTGGACAACAGCGGAGGACGGTTTAGAGGAGACATGGACACATAAGTCCTTTACCTGGGCACAGTACTGGGACTTGGCCACCGCTACCAGGAGCTTGAGTATGGGCTGGGACTGGGACACCAGAGGGGACACGGCGTGGATGACGGCGGTGAACTTGGAGTACGGTTTAATCCCTGAAACACAAACCAGAAAACAACCATTAATCCTTTAGAACAACTCCAGGAAACTTCGAGGCTTCCAGCGCAGAGAGCCGACTCTGACACTACAAGAACAGGAAGTTTTCTTTTAGAAAACATTTAAATGTATTTTCAGTGAAAGTACTGGAAATGAGATTATCAGCATGTAAAAACATGAATGATTTTAGTGACGGAGATGAACAGTTTCAGAAGCCGACTTGAAAATTTGACAACATTAATGCGTTTTGAAAACTCCAAATCTGATCACTGAATATTTCATCTGTCTGCAACCCGATAAACAGACACCGACACGCCATGACTTCATATTTGTGAACAGGAACAGAGTAATCGAAGCTGAAAATAAGGAAGACGATATCGAGCACAACAGATTTTAGAGGGTGTCCAACTTCTCCTAATTTAAATCTAATCTAACCTAAACCAGCAAAGCGTGACAGAAAAGAGACCGCAATAAATGACACTTTCAGACAAATATCTTGTGAAGACAACAACAAAAAAAAGGTTTCTAACCGTCAACTGTAGTTGACAATATTTGAAATAAAGTTTAAAATCTGAGGGTGTAAATCTCTAATTCTTCAAGACTTAGTCAGTTAAAATTCAAGGTTCTTTATTGTCATTCGCATCACGTGGTACATGAGGTGGAACGAAATCGTAGGCCTGTCACGATAACAAATTTTGCTGGGCGATTGTCTCAGAAATTATTGCGATAAACGATAATATTGATAGAAATTTGACAATAATTACTAATTATTGTCATGGACTGTGAGCATGGACTTTGTTGTTTTCAACTAGTTTGTCAAGACTGTCAACAAGGAAGAGGGCCGGCAATGGAGGAGGGGCGTACCAAAGAGACCATCTTATCACAAGCAGAACTGGTTTGTTCCACTTTGGAGTAAGCTGTTGGGGGAAGACTCAGTTTTGTTGTGTGTTTCCTTGACTGATGAAGCCTTCTGGATCGAAGGTGAAATGTTTCAGCACAAAAAAAAAGAAACTGTCCAGATGACCTGACTGAAAAATGTTGGATTGTATACCTGGATTATTGAGCATGGACTTTGTTGATAAGCTAAATGATCCAATATATGCTAAACACTAATAATGTTAAATAATACGGTATATGAAACAGCAGCCTGAACATGAGTCTGTGGTGAGTAGGTATGAATGAATACAGCAGCATGAGGTGGCAGATTTTAAACTTTGGCTGCTGTTTTCTGTCTTCAGCTCTCGATGCTCGGCGGTTTGATTCTCCTGACTGTGCAGCAACACTTCAGGCTGCTTTGAGACAAAAACACACTTTGGACTTCTGGTACAAAGTTTTCATGCGTCATTAAATCGTGGATGATTTAAACCAGCTGTTTGTAAAGTCTGACATTTTTAATCAAGTTTCTACTTCAAGCAGTTTCAGACTACAAAGAAAACTTTTTTTCTTTTTTGACTTCAAACATTAATTTCTTGCAACAAAGTTCAGTCAGGTCATCTGGACATTTTTTTTTTTTTTTGTTGAGACGTTTTATCCTTCATCCAAAGGACTTCATCAATCCGAGGAGCCATAAACAAATGCGAGTCCCACAAGCATCACACTCACATATTGGACTTGATGAAGTCCCTTGGATGAAGGACGAAACGTCTAAAATAAATAAATAAATAAATAAATAAAAATAAACTATCCAGATGACCTGAATGGATTTTTTACTTAGATTATTGAGCATGAACTTTGATCTTAATTTATTGCATTTTTCTTTAGTCCCTTTAAGGGTTCCAGTTCCTGTTTAAGTTATTATTTTGGGAAAAGTTTGTTGCTGGCAGTGGTGGGGACATTTCCACTAACAGTGGAACTAATTATTCGATTAGCGTTTTCACTAACATTGGAAACCGCTACTGGAAATGTCTTCCTCTAAATTAGGTTTCACCAACTTTAAGTTCGCTAACAATATTCACAAGCTTGTTCCCGTCTGTAGGGGGCGTGTCTCGAGGAGTCTGTTAGGCACGCTATTGGCTGAATACCTGTAAACGTGACAAGACGTGATTGGTCGACGCAGCTTCAACCGGAAGGAGATGAAGACTGTGACGCAGACTGAGTGACAGTCGTCTGGGCGGTTAGCGGTTTAGCGTTAGCGTTCACTAATGTTTTTTTATATCTGTTTAGCGTTAGC